TTACATATTTATAAGTCTAATATTCCTCGTTGCTTTGAATATTACTGCTACATCTGGTCTGGTGCTCCTGCTATATATTTAGACATTCTTGATAAAATCCCAAGAATCTGCAATCTTATTGGTCCTCACCTGGCATCTTCGTTTCAATCCCATTTCCCCACTATCGTAACCTAGCTTCATTGTGCCTTTTTCTGTAAATACTTTCTTAGTAGATGTTCTGATAAAATTTCCGCTATGGTACCTAGACTTTATGAATGTAAACTCAGTACTAGGTTGGCGGCAAGGTCTCGTCATTTTACAGTGAAAATGGCAAGATGTAGCTGTAAATTCTTCTAGCAGTTTCTTCTATCGCACTTGTGAAAGTCACTTCCGGCTTGTTGCTTTCCATTCAACTTTGATCTCCAAAAATTTATATTCAATGTCAATCGTTACCTTGTTTTCTTAATACTTGTTCTTTTATTATCCTCTCTCCTTAATAGTAGTTTTTTTCTCATATTCTTTAACACTCAGCAACCCACTTGCGCCCCAGTGGCTTTATTGCCTTGCTTGGGTGAAAATATTCAAAATAAGAAAAAGGCGATCCCTCCGATTAAAGTTAGAATGATACATTTTGCCGTTGTCAATGGTTCTTCAAAAAAGAAATTAATTATAATTCAAACTAATAAATAAGCGTTAGTAATGGCAATATTATCCGTTTCCCGATAATGAAAGTTTTGGCTTTCATTGACCGAGCAGCCAGTAATGTTTTCGGTTGAAATTTATAAAATCTGTCTCTGAAAACAACATTTTTAAAAGGAAAACTGGTTTCTCAAATCCAGTAGCTGTTATCGCTCTTTCCAGTATTGATGGGAGTTTCCTTCCTAACCTTTTGTTCGAAGTAATATGGAGAGTCAACATTAATATTATTTCATTATTTTCTCTCCTTTTTATTAATCTGCTATCCATTTTAGTTGTTGCTACTGTTGGTGGTCTTCAAGTGATTTGGTTTCTGTTATTTGGTACAGTTCTTTCTTTGTGATTCTGTAGCACGAGTCAACAATGTTCAAACAAGAACGATCTTTGTCAAGACTTTACTCGCTCAAAGCCTTTTTTCAACATTGTTATTAGAAAACGGTTGTTTATAGCTGACAGTTTAGGTAATTCTGAACGAATTTGGCGCCATGCAAATACATCCATATTAAAGTCTCGAGCTGACAAGGTTATACATGACTCGAGTTTTCAGTTTTCAGTTTTGATTTTGTGGCATTTTGCTGTGTTGATGAAACTAACTCTGATACAGCCAATTCTACATTCAAATCCTTTTTCTTCTATACTTAATTTGTTATAGCTTATCTAGTTCCACGCTGACTTGAGGTTGTAGCAGCTGTTAGTGTCCCAGCCATGGTTAAATAGTGACCCCCACAAAGAAAAATGAAACATTATAATAGTATAAAAATACATTTTTATATTAAAAAATAGGAACAATAGCTATTTATAATAATTTATAATAAAATTATCAACAATATCTTTTTATAGAATGTATTTAGTTGAAGCCATAAAATGATGTCCAAAATATTTAAATTTCGGCATTAAACAACCCATAGAGATGTTGATATGCCGCTAAACAAAATTAACCAACCAATAATATACATTTATCTTTAAATAACCAACAGTACATTTTATCTGTAGTTGAAGGCCTACAATTGCGTTCAAAATATATTTACTTGAAGGCATATAATTGTGTTCAAAATATTTAGATTTCGGCATTAAATAACCCATAGAGATGTTGATATGCCACTAAACAAAATAAACCAACCAATATTACACATTTATATTAAAATGAAAAAAAATATATTTTATCTGTAGGTGAAGGCATACAATTGCGTTCAAAATATATTTAGCCGAATTTATGAAATTGTGTTCAAAATATTTAGATTTCGGCATTAAATAACCCATAGAGATGTTGATATGCCGCTAAATAAAATCAGCCAACCATATAGCGGATCCATACGCCGAGGTATCTGAATTTTTTAATATTTACTAATTCCACATCCTGTATTTTTATGAATGAGTTCAGAGTAGTTTTCATTCCAATTCAAGATCATAGTTTCTGTTCGGGGTCAGGTTTTATAGGCGTGTCCGCTTGTAGCTTCAATGTACAAAATTCTAGACAACCCTTTTCCTCTTCCAATACATCTTTCTTTTTATTATTTTGACTTCCGCTCTTTCTATTAATTCTGTCAAAACAAAAGTTATACTGAATTCCTTAGTTATTCTTTCAATTTTCCCTCTCTTGTTTTCGCTATTATTTCAAAAGACGAAGCCCACACAGAGAATTAATTTTGATTTTATCGTCTTCTGTTACGCCATTTCTGAAATTCTTCATTTGCCATCACAATCCCCAAACCTGGTAAAAACCACGGCGCTTACATCAGTTCTTCGGAGACGCGAGCGGGTGTCTTATGTTACAACATAGTTGCATCCAAACATCGGCAGATGATCTTGTTTTATCTCTCCATCTTTTCTTCAGAAACTAATCCTCCTGCAATCTCTAGTCCATGACGACAGTGATTCTCGCGGAAAATTCTATTACGGGTGCTGAAAATTCTATTAGCGGGTACTGAAATTTCTATTACGGGTGCTGAAAATTATATTAATGAGTACTGAAAATTATATAATGGTAATGAAAATTCTATTACGGGGGCAGAAAATTATATTAGCGGGTGCTGAAAATTCTATTACGGCTGCTGAAAATTCTATTACGGGTGCGGAAAATTCTATTACGGGTGCTGAAAATTCTATTAGATTGTGGTCAAAGTTTTCTTACAGGTGCTGAAATTTATATTAACGTGTGCTCAAAATTTTCTAACGGGTGCTGAAAATTCTATTACGGGTGCTGAAATTTTTATTACCTGTGCTGAAAATTATATTAGTGAGTGAAGAAAATTCTATTACGGGTACTGAAAATTCTATTACGGTGACAGAAAATTATATTGGCGGGTGCTGAAAATTCTATTACGGCTGCTGAAAGATTTATTACGGGTGCTGAAATTTCTATTAGTTTGTGCTAAAAGTTTTCTTACGGGTGCTGAAAATTCTTTTAGTGGGTGCTGAAAATTCTATTACGTGTGTTGAAAATTATATTAGCGTTTCAGAAAATTCTATTATGGGTGCTGAAAATTCTATGATGGGTTCTGAAAAGTCTATAAGCGTTTCAGAAAATTCTATTATAGTTGCTAAAAAATCTATTACATGTGCTGAAATTTATATTAGCGTATGCTCAAAATTCTATTACGGGTGCTGAAATTTCTCTTAGCGTGTGCTGAAAATTTTCTTACGGGTGCTGAAAATTCTATTACGACTGCTGAAAATTCTCAGCACGTTTCTTCTTTTTTCTGATCAGCTTTTTTCCATTCAGCACTTTAACGACTCATTATCATTTTACCAACTGTTTGTTCATTGTATGAAATACAGAGGCTTATCAATAGAAGTTAGTGCCCATAGCAAGTCAATAAAATGGCGTCGTTAGCTAAACATCTCATACCTTACCAAAGTGCTAGTCGAGACAATTAATAAATATAATATATTATGGAACCTAAAGAAATATTTTTATTTGTTATAGTGCAAAGGTGTTGATCAAGTGTTAGTTATCTGGGCCTCTAGTCTTTCAAATAATATTTGAACTTGACTATTATCCGTTTTTTGAAATATTTCGATGAGTCAGCCCTCCTATGTGGTAGCAAATGCTGGACAATCTCTTCACAGATAAAAAAAAAGAGGGCTTGAAACAACAGAAATGTACCACAGAAGGATGCTGAAAATTAAATGGACCGAACGTGTGAGCAACGAAGAGGTTTTGGAGAAAAAGGGGGCAAAACAAGGCACTACTTGACATCAAGAAGAGACAGTTGAAATTCCTAGGGAATATAGTGAGAAGAGAGGGCTTGGAAAATTTGACACTCACAGGACACATTGAAAACAAGAGGGTCAGAAGAAAACAACGCATAGTCTACCTTATATATATTCTATTACATGTGCTGAAAAACAAGAGGGTCAGAAGAAAACAACGCATAGCCTACTAATATATATATATATATATATATATATATATATATATATATATATATATATGTGTGTGTGTGTGTGTGTGTGTATTTAGGCAGCAATCCTTCTTTCATGCACATTCCACTGAATACGACAGACAAGGTGATTTTTTTAGTTTTTTATACAATTTCTCATGCGATCTAATATTTTTTTCCCACAGGAGAACTGGATTCATATATATGTATATATATATATATATGATTTTTTTTTATTAAATTTCTGAACTATCAACACATTATAATTGGGAGTTGATTTTTTTTATTATTATCGATTCCATTATTTTTAACCGTTTTTTTTTTTTTTTTTTAATGTGAACTAGTTTATTTTCTTCGTTTTTTTTTTTTCTACAAGTATCTTGCGGACGGAAGCTATAGTCACATCCAGTGAGTCAGTTATGTGCCATACACGCTTAGGCGATCATGTATACATTACTGGCGAGGCAGATTTTTTCTCGCAATAGGTTTCCATTTCTTTCTGCGGTAGACTAGTTGCCATCCAAGGCGATAGAACCCGGTCTTGCTATTTACCTATAGCTTGTGAAGAAGAGGATTTATACCTTTCCCAAGGGTATTAGCACGTAAGTGAATGTAATGGATTTCACTGGACTTCAAACTCGGCTCTCCGATTCCTCAATCCGAGCCGCTATCCATTACTCCACAGTCCATATGCAACAACAACAACAAAACATAATGAAAATATATATATATATATATATATATATATATATATATATATATATATATATATATATATATATATATATATATATATATATATATTTATATCTTTTATATATATATATATATATATATATATATAGCTGTCTACTGGGTAGGCACTTTTTTTCTTGGGTGGATAGCTAATCCACATTGTAGGAACCTGTTTTGTAACATCCATCTTTTATCAACATCAACAAAGCAATGAAACACCAGCTTTCGTACGATCATCGAAGTTAAGCAACGTTCAGACTGGCCAGTATCTAGATGGGTGACCGTTTGTGAATACCGCGTGCCGTATGCTTCGATGTGCGGATGGAGGAATGGATAGCGGTTCGGAATTGGAATTGGAGCTAAGTTCCAATTCCAGTTTGCTTCGCTATAGGCACAAATAACTTGGGAAAAGTTATGAATACACGTCTTCTTCCCCCAGCTATGGGTTAATTAGTAGGAGTTGTATCGGTAATTCATTACTATTTATTAACACCCAAAAATTCTTACGATCAAAAAGTATTTACTGGTTCTCAAAAACGTGCAGAAGGTTGGTAAGCCGTAAAAAACAAATTAATCAATCAATCTATCAAGAGAGTCAGCTTTAGGTTTATACTGTAGTTATACTAAGCGGATTTCAGTTACAGTTTTGGGAGAGAGAGCATAAAATATGGTGTAATAAGGTGTTGAATAAGGGTACTACGATAAAATTCTTGGTCACAATGGCTTCTGTTATCAGGCGAGCACGATAATTTCGTCGATCCATTTTTACTCAAAAGACTTGAGCAAACCTGTTATGGTTACTCAACCACATCCCAACTGTTTGACAATATGGGAACGTCTCCCCAGACTGATATTTTTAAAATCTCCCTCTTTGACATATTGACTACGTTGAGATTAGTTGCTCAAAATTTTCTCCAGCTTTCAGCTACCAGATCATCGCATATATATATATATATATATATATATATATATATATATATATATATATATATATATATATATGTGTGTGTGTGTATGTCTGTGTGTGTGTATTTAGGCATCATCCAATCATTTAAACACGTTGTATTAAACGCCAAAGACAACATAGTCCTGCTGATTTTCTTTTGTATTTTCTCATATTTCCGAATGAGACTTTTTATTTCAAAATTATATTGATATATATATATTTTCCAAAAGACAACCGAGTACTTTCGAACATCATCGCTCATCATCAGAGTCAAAATTTTTCTTTAACTTTAGCCAATTTCCTTGCAGCGGAATCGTATTGCTACATTTATACGAACCAAATAAACGTTACGAAATATTTTTAACTTCAAAAGACACGTTAAGGTTATATATATATATATATATATATATATATATATATATATATATATATATATATCATTATTTTAAAAAAATATGATTCCATCACACAAAATAAGAATAAAAAAAATATAATAATAATTTGGGTTCTGCTTATGTGTTTTTAAAAAATAAAAAATACTAAAGGACTTCGGATTATTAATCTAACGTGTTCTTACCTATTTTTCTATACACACACACACACACACACACACAGACACCCCCATATATATATATATATATATATATATATATATATATATACTGGACTCTCCCGTCGTTTTCGACGTATGAGGCTCAAGTAATCCAGTTTCTAGGAACCGACAGTCAGATACCTGCACATATGATCTGATTAAATTGGTGAGGTTTTTGTGCATAACCAACCACAATTTTTGAAGAGCCACAAGGTCCCCCAAACGATCCTCCGCAGAATTGTCCTTCTCGTAGACGAGCTGCCATCCAAGGCTATAGAACCCAGTCTATTCTGCTATATACCCATAGCTGGGTGAGGAGAAGATAAGGATTCAAACCTTTCCCAAGGATATTAACACGTAAGTGAATGTAATAGATTCAACTGTGTCACAGTGGGAGTTTTGTAGTCGACTGGAATTCGAACTCGACTCTCCGATTCTTCAATCGAAGCTGCTATCCTTTACTCTGCTGTCCCCCTCTCTCTCTTTCTGTCTGTCTCTCCCCCTCTCTCTCACTATGTATATATATATATATATATATATATATATATATATATATATATGTTAAGTAAATAAATAATGATAAAAGAAATATGACGTTAAACTGTATAGAAATATTCATTTTTTTTAACCGCTCACCAATGAACGTCTCTTCATTTCTTGAGGCTAATCGGTGAGAAAGCAAAGCGAAAAGAAGCCACAAAAATAATTTGTTTCTTTTTCAATTCATCCGGGAAAGTAGGAATGACGTCAGCATCTATAATTTTGGGAAGCCGTCGGCGAAAGCTCAGACACATGCGTGTACAGCATTTTGCGAGATCAACGAATTCCGTTTCCTCAATAATGGCTGCCGGCGCCAAATTTCAGTTTGCTGCGTTTAAGAAATAGATTGACGAGCTTTTAGCTAAATGGCCGTCACATGAGAATATGCGTACATAATAATAATAATAATATATATATATATATATATATATATATATATATATATATATATATATATATATATTATTTCGCCTTTTAAGATTTATTTTCACACACACACACACACACACACACACAACTGCACACATATGTACAAGTTTCTGCATGTATCTGTCAAGGAACACGTCTACTATTTCTATTATGATATTCCTCGAAATATGGATGGACGTACCAAAAGAGGACCGGGTAAGTCGGTGGAGAGGTGCATCGATTGGGTTATACTTGTACAAAATATAATGCTTAGCCTGTGAGCAGTAGGGAATTATGTCTATCGCTTTTGGTGGGCAGCAGAGCGTATGCGATCATAGACAAGCCTTTTACAACTCTCTCCCTGTCACACATACACATAAAAATGCAGGAACAAACTATATATATATATATATATATATATATATATATGTGTGTGTATATATATATCGGTTGAAACATATCTATCCCCTTATATGAAGTAATTTTGGATTTAGTTGTGTATATATATATATATATATATATATATATATATATATATAACCAAGTATATAATTGGTGTATACGGAATGAATTGAATTCCAATAACCAACAATTACTATTCTTAAAAGAGTGCTCAATACAGAGTAGAGCAGATATAATTATTTATTAAAAAAAAAAATATCATAATTATGTTATAAAATCACTACAAAAATAGCCATTTCATTCGACATTCCAACCACCTGAAGAAGGCCTGAGCGTACAACGGCCGAAACGTTGTAATAAATATGGTGACAAGGATGAGGACAATAGTCCGAATAATCTAAATAGTGTACATAATGCCTCATCTCAGAAATATAGACAGGAAAATTTGTGTCGATGAGTTCTGACATTGTAGGGAAAATTTCGAAAAGTTTAACTAAAAGTTTGGAATTGTGTCTCCAGTTATAGAAGTTAGCTATTTTCTTTTTAAACGTCTTTCCAAGAATTGCAGTCTTCCAGAAAATAGTATTCTCAATATCAGAATACTGAACAAAGTATTGTGGGTAATAACAAGATTTGCTGTCATTTACTTTGAAAAACGACAGTGTCATCATTAATAATAATTGCTATGGGCGTACCACAGTATTTCTACGAATATTTTGAAATAATAAGCAAATAATGAAATCTTAAGATGGAAAAATGGATCACTTTAAAAGTAAAACTGTCCTGTTTTGGCCGGAGCTCTGGGTCTGATAAACAAAGAAACTCATGAGCAAATCAACAAAATACCCGGTGCACCATCTCTCCAGGAATTAAAAAACAATTTTTTCTTCAATTGCAGGCTTTTTGTTAATGTTTAATAGCAGTCTTTTATTTAATTAAGTAGAAACTTAAAAAATCACTTCTACCATTTGCCCTGTGCGATCAGTTAAAAACCGGCATGTGATTATAAAATAAATGCAGGTGAAACAGATTTTTAAGAATATTAACAATTAGAAGTAGCCGTGAAAATTTCATTTTGAGTTTTGGATGCCTGAATAGATATTACTTGATACTCCGCTTGCTAGCACCATCTCTCCAGGAATTAAAAAACAATTTTTTCTTCAATTGCAGGCTTTTTGTTAATGTTTAATAGCAGTCTTTTATTTAATTAAGTAGAAACTTAAAAAATCACTTCTACGATTTGCCCTGTGCGATCAGTTAAAAACCGGCATGTGATTATAAAATAAATGCAGGTGAAACAGATTTTAAGAATATTAACAATTAGAAGTAGCCGTGAAAATTTCATTTTGAGTTTTGGATGCCTGAATAGATATTACTTGATACTCCGCTTGCTAGCACCATCTCTCCAGGAATTAAAAACAATTTTTCTTCAATTGCAGGCTTTTTGTTAATGTTTAATAGCAGTCTTTTATTTAATTAAGTAGAAACTTAAAAAATCACTTCTACGATTTGCCCTGTGCGATCAGTTAAAAACCGGCATGTGATTATAAAATAAATGCAGGTGAAACAGATTTTTAAGAATATTAATAATTAGAAGTAGCCGTGAAAATTTCATTTTGAGTTTTGGATGCCTGAATAGATATTACTTGATACTCCGCTTGCTAGTTCCATAGCTACAAAATACTTGTAAAAACTCCATCATAGTGTTATAGAGTAGTTTCACAGTGGAAGCTTGTATTTCACTAAGTCGGTACTTAAAATAGGTTCGACGTACAAAACGTTAGGAACTTGATATAAGAGTTAATGACGCAGCAATCTAGTTGTGGTGGCTGATACTTTAATATCCGACTAACGGTCGTCCGACATCGACTGACTGACCAACTCTCTGAGACCTAGCGACTGCTACTACTACTACTTATTATAGTTGGGAGAGTCTATTAACTATAGAATAGGTGCGTACCAGTATAACGCATAGCAACGTTAAATATTGGAGTTTAATAACTTGAAACAAATATTTCATTAACAATCCCAAGAACGCAGGTCATTATTTAAAGACCCCAGAGGGATAGAAAAATCTGAATTTGACAAGGTTTTCCATTTCGGTGAAGCAGGCGTTAGCGTTAATGCGAGCGTTATCGCCACCTCTATCATCTTTTTCTTTCTTTCTTTTTTTCTTAATGAAATCAAACAGCATCTCTGATATGTCTTTTCCGTTTTTACTTACGATTAAACGTAATAGTCCTATAATTATGATGTAGTGGCAGGGCGTAACGTGCGTGCGAATTAACGAAGGAGGAAGTAAAATTGCAATCGGATATTAAATGCCGGTTAGCAACGACTTTCAATGTCAAGCAAAGGTTTTTTTTTTTTCAGAAATTCACGGAGAATGCATCCACTCATCAGAAGATTTGATTGTAGAATTTTATAACCTTGAGGTTAGGGTGTAATTTATCCCAAAATCTGCGTAGATACACGTGAAAATTTAAATATATTTTATTCTCATTCTTATCTATCTATATATGATTCAGTGGGATAGATCCTAATTATTCAATAGATATTATCGACATATATATATATATATATATATATATATATATGTATGTATTTTAAGACATTTTTTTTTTATACTTTCTTTTTATAGATACGTATATTTAAGTAAATGTTCTGTTTTATAATAAACAGTATTTATAACATTTACCGGCCTGAATATCCGAGAAATTTTCATAGAAAATATTCGTCCTTCGACAGGAATTGAACCTGTATCCTATACAAAACCGTCATATAGCCTGACGTGCTTTTACTGATCGAGCCACAGAGGAGCGTTTCTGTTTGCAATGTCGAATTTACTGTTTTTAAACTACAATTTTCCATGATTTTCTCTCTTACATGCATATCTGCTCGATGCGTATCCAAATGTAAACAAAGGACGCAACACATTATGAAATGGACAAAGTACGACAATTATTTTAAGTCATTTTTATGTTTATACGTTCTTTTTATAGATACATATATTTTAGTAAATGCTCTGTTTATAATAAATTCAGGTCGGTTAATGTTATAAATACTGTTTATTATAAAACAGAGCATTTACTTAAATATATGTATCTATAAAAAGAATGTATAAACAATAAAAATGTCTTAAAATAAACGTCAGACTTTGGCCATTTCATGTTTGACGTCATTTGTTTACAATTGGATACGCTTCCTGCAGATATGAATGTACATGAGAGATTCATAGAAGATTGAAGTTTGAAGGCAGTAAATTTGACCTTGCTACTCGAACGATCGTCTGTGGCTCGATCGGTTAAGAGCACGTCAGGCTAAATGATGGTTCCGTATAGGATATAGGTTCGATTCTTGTCGGAGGACGAATATTTTCTATGAAAATTTCTCGGATAGTCTACATTTGGATATGCATCGAGAGAAAATCATGGAATATTGCAGTTTAAAAACAGTAAAATCGACATTGCTAACCAAAATTCTCCTCTGTGGCTCAATCGGTAAAAGCACGTCAGGCTATATGTTCCGTAAAGGATACAGGTTCGATTCCTGTCGGAGGACGCATATTTTCTATGAAATTTTCTCGGACATTCAAGCCGGTAAATGTCGTTAGTACTGTTTATTATAAACAGAGCATTTACTTAAATATTTGTATCTATAAAAAGAACGTATAAACATAAAAAATGTCTTACAATACTTGTCTGACATTGTCTATTTCATTATATATATATATATATATATATATAAAACAACCTTTTGCAAGTTAATTGAAATAAAACGAATCATCCTGTTATTATCTTTCTTTCGTATTTTTACAATGAAACATGACCCAGTTCACATGTTAGTACTTCGTATGTCCATCTTACGAAGTCGTTCTTTGCAGATTGACCACAAATTCTCGACTGGATCTAAATCAGGAGAGTTCCCGGGCAAGTCTAGTCCTTTGATTTGCTTGACAATGGAACAAGACTATGGATTTTAAGTTTAATTAAATTTATAAATTTCGTTTCAGTTTTGAAACATAGGAATTTCTGTGTAACGATGGAATCATATTTTTGAAAAAGTAATTAATTATATATATATATATATATATATATGTGTGTGTGTGTGTATGTGTGTGTGTGTGTGTTTGTGTGTGTATTTGTCCAATAAAGAGGCATTTGAAGCCTTTAAAGAATCGAAATTGAAAACTGAATTCATTTGAGCGCCATGTGTAAGGTCAGAATGAAGCAACATTATTGACAAATTGATTTTATTGTTTAAATATCTATTTTTTGCCTTTGATAATTTTTCGAATTCCATTCTCTGGATGAATATCTCCGTGTTGTTTAATAAAACTTAATTATAAAAAGAAGTCATGGAAGCAATGACGACAAACAATGACTCACTGATCGCGATTTAAAGAAGATCTGCCAAGAGCAATTGGACGAAAAGAGCGAAAAGTAAATTATTTAAATAACGAAATTAATCCTTAAATGCTAATCCTTGCTAATCTTTCAAATGAATTCGTTAATCTTGTAAGGACAAGCCAAATATTGAATATTTAAGGCTTCTTTTTCTCCGTGCAATTTTTTTGTTTTCTTGCTTCGTAAAGAAGGTATTTTCTACATTATTGTTAGTTGTTTTGTAAGCTTTTGTGAAGATTGCCACTGGAAGGGAAACGTCAGTCTGGTGGCTGAAAAGAGCCATTACGTTCTTTGTTATGAAGGGCTTCGTAGAAGAAGAAGAAGAAGAAGAAGAAGAAGAATTGGAAATTAGTGACTGAAAGGAGGATTGGAAAATATTTACTGAAAGAAGAAGTAGTAGGAAAAAGAAGAAGGATTGGAAATCTGTGCTTGAAAGAAGGAGGATAAAGAAGAAAAGTAGAAGGAGGAGGATTTGTGACTAAAAGAAGGAGAGGGAGAAAAAAGAAGAAAAATGATTGGAAAATTGTAACTGAAAAAAGGAGAAGGAGAAGGAAAAAGAAGGATTGGAAATTCTTTGCTGAAAGAAGAAGTAGGAGGAAAAAGAAGAATGATTGGAAATTTGTGCTTGAAAGGAGGAGGAAGAAAAGTAGAAGGCGAAAGATTTGTGACTAAAAGATTGAGGGGGAGTAAAAAGAAGAAGAAGAAGGATTGGAAAATTGTAACTGAAAGAAGAAGAAATTAGGTATATGGGGTGGAAATAAAATATTGTCGATGCAATGAGTGAATGAAGATTGGAGAAAATAGATCGAGAGAAGACTGAATTTACAATGAAAGAGAATGAAAGAGAATGAATTATAAATGAAGAAGAGAAGAGAAGAGAAGAGAAGAGAAGAGACGGTAAAAGTGAAGAAGAATATGTAGAAGAAAGAATCTGAATTACCGGAAAATGAGAAACGGAAGAAAACATTGAATTTAAATGAAAAACATAAAGCGAATAAGAAATTAAAATGAGATATGACGAAAGAAAAACAGAAGTGAAGGGAGATAATTAAGAAATGATTGATGGAGGACGAAATCGAAAAGGAAGATTAAAGGGAAATCGGGCGGGGGGAAGGGGAGAGAGAGAGAGAGAGAGTGAGAGAGGGAGAGAGAGAGAGAGAGAGAGTGCGGATGAGATGAAGAAGAACATAAAATAGCAAGATTAATAAAAAACCGGAACACAAAAAGTACTAAATAAAAGAAATACGACAAGAAAGAAAGAAAGAAAGAAATGAGAAAAAAAAATAAAGATAGAAAGAGAGAAAGAAAGGGTGAAAGAAATAAAGCGTGAAATAAAGGAAGATAGAAAGAGAGAAAGAAAGAGTGAAGGAAATAAAACGAGAAAAGGAAGATAGAAAGAAAGAAAGAAAGAAATAAACAAAGAGAGAAAAAAAATAAAGATAGAAAGAGAGAAAGAAAGGGTGAAAGAAATAAAGCGTGAAATAAAGGAAGATAGAAAGAGAGAAAGAAAGGGTGAAGGAAATAAAATGAGAAATAAAGGAAGATAGAAAGAGAGAAAGAAAGGGTGAAGGAAATAAAACGAGAAATAAAGGAAGATAGAAAGAGAGAAAGAAAGGGTGAAAGAAATAAAGCGAGAAATAAAGGAAGATAGAAAGAGAGCAAGAAAAAAACAAACAAAGACAGAAAGAGAAAGAAAGAAAGCGGCAAAGAAATAGATAAATAAAGGAAAACAGAAAGAAAGAGTGATAGAGAGAAAGAAAGAATGAAATAAAGCGAGAAAGAAAGAAAGCGAGAAATAAAGGCAGAAAGAAAGAGAGAAAGAAAAGAAGAAAAAAAGCGAGAAAGAAAGAGAGAGAGAAGCATGAGAAGATGGATACATAAAGAAAAAGTGTTTAAAAATAAAATCGAATCAGTGTATACGATTGGGATAAAGAAAATAAAGAATCTATGAGGAATGAGAATAGGCGAAGAAGAAAAGGGAAAGAGAAAGAAAACATGAAGAGGAGGAGGAGGATGGACGAAGAGGGTGAGAGCTAAATGAGAAAGAGAAGTGGGTGAGGGAAAGGGAGCAAATATAGAAAAGAGAGAAAGAGAGCGTGTGTACTGAAGAGCGGAAGGAAAATAGATGAAAAATAAAAACAAGAAAGAAGGAAACATAGACCAACGCAAAAAAAAAAAATAAAATAAATAATAAAAGAAGTAAAATAAAGATGTCAATATTGAAAAGCGAGAATATAAGAGTTTAAAAATGGTGTAGACATGAATGGGGCGGAACTGATGGAAATTCTGCAAACAACACTGTTCTCATTACGGAGTGAAATAGAAGTAGAATTAAAAAAAGTTATACACAGAATAATAATTTTTATATATCAAAAATAATACTATGGAAAAATATAATGTTGCTTTTGAACCACTCTGAGATCCTCCCAGTAAAGTTACAGTATAATCTACAGGTTGGCTGTGTGGAAGTTGGATGAAGGCAAATTAGGAATACTTGACCCTCAGTCGTTTCCGGCGATGCCTATTTTAATGCTTATCTTCGACAGTCAAAATTTTAATTTTATTCACTGCTAAATCTCAAAGTTTCAAAGTATCTCTACGGTTTAGGGAAACGGCAGACTTTTACATTATTTAATATTTTGTTGTGGGGGAAAATGTATAACAAAGTGGAAAACGGTTTCTTACGACGCGTTTCGCCCTTTAGGACCTCATCGGACGAAATTTGCTTTGTAGGCGCGAATACACATGCGCACGAACGAGGGATGGTGGGAATTGTAAATTTAATTTTTTAATCTCGCCAATTTATTTTAGACGTTTTTTCTTATACTTTCCATCACTTTTTAATAGTACATAACTCTCACTGTGACAAAATAAATTCTGCCAGGAATGGTGAAATGTTGTAAAAGCCCGGGCACAAATTAATTGTAGATGATCTTTAAGACCAAGATTTTTAGGATAGGTTCTTGCCAATAGGATATGTGTTCTTTGGAAGAAATCCGTTTGTAGATCAGGGTTTGGGTTTATTTTGTTTTACCGCATATCAACCTCAATGGGTTATTTAATGCCGACAAGATTTTTAGCATAGATTCTTATGAATAGAATATGTATTTGGAAGAAATCAGTTTGTAGATCAGGGTTTGGGTTTATTTTGTTTTACGGCATATCAACCTCAATGGGTTATTTAAAGCCGACAAGATTTTTAGGATAGGTTCTTATGAATAGAATATGTATTCTTTGGAAGAAATCAGTTCCTAGATCAGGGTTTGGGTTTATTTTGTTTTACGGCATATCAACCTCAATGGGTTATTTAATGCCGACAAGATTTTTAGGATAGGTTCTTATGAATAGAATATGTATTCTTTGGAAGAAATCAGTTCGTAGATCAGGATTTGAGTTTATTTTGTTTTGCGGCATATCAACCTCAATGGGTTATTTAATGCGGACAAGATTTTTAGCATCTTATGAATAGAATATGTATTTGGATAAAATCAGTGTGCAGATAAAGGTTTGAGTTTATTTTATTTTTATGGCATATCAACCTCAATGGGTTATTTAATGCCCGCAATATTTTTAGGATAAGTTCTTATGAATAGAATATGTATTCTTTGGAAGAAATCAGATTGTAGATCAGACTGTATTGATGTTTTTTTTGTAAAGGGGGTTAATATATTGCTGGTAATATTTTTTTCTTTCCAAATATGCATTGATGACAATATTTATTTTTTTCAAAATGTATTGCTGATAATATTTTTTTCTTTCCAAATATGCATTGCTGGTAATATTTATTTTTTCAAAATGTTTTGCTGGTAATATTGTTTTTTTCTTCCCAAATATGCATTGCTGGTAATATTTATTTTTTCAAAATGTATTGCTGGTAATACTTTTTTTTCTTTCCAAATATGCATTGATGACAATATTATTTTTTTACAAAAATGTGTTAAATAATAGTTTAGCAGACCATTAGTTTTTTACAGGAGGGTGATCTTAACGGTCAGATGGAAGACAAAACAAGAAAGTTGATTTTAATTTTCTGAGCCAGCATGAGAGCGATATATAGAAAAAGGATTTCAGAGACTTGGTTTCTACACGTCAAGCAATGTAGACGTGTTTTCTTTCGTGTCTGGAACGGCTCCCCAATGCTCCAACTGCTGGCTTCAACTAAGCGTTCAGTTTATATGTATTTCGCCCGATTCTTACGGCGCCTCAAAAGTCATTCATCAATTAATTATTTTCTCCGACCTCAGAGACATTATACCGTCCGTCGAACAAAGCGGTCAGCTATTTCAAAGCAATAAACATTCCTTTCGACAATCGGTCGTTTTACCAAAATAATAATTGTTCGCGTCAGCAACTTTTAAAAATTATCACTAAACAATTTCGTTTTGCTTTCCGATTTCCAAAACTACCGATTTCAAATACCATTTTTTGCATTTTGGCTTTACTTAAATTCTCTTCCTGGCCGACAATGACCTTCAAATACAAAACTATTCAAAACAATGATTTTTGTGTCAAAAATTTTCTACGCCTTTGAAATTTAATTAAAACAGAAAGGAGTTTCTTCGTTGTCGCTTTCCCTTTTGTTGTCGATTTAACAGTACGACACAAGTAATTCTCTGTCCATTTTCAAAACAACACTTACATCCCAGCTATTCTTATTTGCTTTTCAGTTTATTTTTTTTCAAAACCGTATTTTGGACTCAACATTTCATTCGAAGTTTCTGGTTATCTGAAAGGAAAAAGTAAATTTATTTCTTTTTTCTTTCGTTTTTTTATATTTTAATTCTTGTTTCCACCTTAACGTTTTAAACTCTTCCAATTCTATACGAGATTTTCACATGAACCTTTTTAATCCTAATTTCTTACTACAAGTGTCCCAATAGTGTGACACTACGACTAGCAAAGAAAGTTACATTCGAAAGCCCAATTCTACTAATTTTTTCTCTACTGTGAAACTGGGTTTCTTACTTCTAAAACTTGGAACGGGTTAAAACTCTATACGCCGTTGAAATCTATTTTCTTTACTGTCGATTTACCAATACGACCCGAATAATTCTTTATGCATTTTCCGCCTATGTTTATTTGCTTTCAAGTTTATATTTTCTTTAAACCATATTTCGGATTCAGTATTCTATTTGGCATTTTTGTTTATCAGAAAATAAAAAAAATTCTCTTTTCTCCTTCGTTTCATATTTCATTTCATGTTTTCAACCCTTCAATTTTCCAGTTCTGTACGGGTTTTTTCACATTAACCCTTTTAGTTCTAATTTCATAGTGTCACAAGGGGCTCGGAAAGAAAAATCAACAAGTCGAGTTCAAATTCCAACTTAGTTCGTTCGCACAAATATCCCTTGGAAATATGTGTATCTATCTCTTCTCCTCCAAGTCATGGCTTAAATAGCATGTCTGACTGGTCTCTTTCTTTGAGGTGACAATCAGACTAAAAGAAGAAAAAATTGACTTCAAAACCGGCCAGAAAATCTAGACAGGTGGGAATCGAGATGATGAGTTCCCTAGCCATCATAATGTCAAAATTCCACTCACCTTGCATATGGTCTGAGGTAGCAGCTAAACTTTTTCTGAAAAAAAAACGGCAAGGTATTCCCCTACCTATTATTCGGAAGGACCTCAAATACTGTCACGTTGGATTTATTCATATACCATACTTATGATCAGGTCTTTGTTGATTAACTCTTTCTGCACTACTGGCATGCATCTCTTCGGCCTGGATAACAGTATGTCCCAAATAAAAAAGTTGGTACCCTTGATGATTTGTTGAGGCTTGACTTTCAGGAGCTTTATTCTTGGTTTCTTTTGTAGCGCAACAAATCTTTGAGCGTACTATGGTCCACTGCGACGAGACACAGATTTCTGTAGTCTTTGGCAGTCTACCAAAACGCTTTTCCTACAATTCCGAACATGATCATTTTTGCATCAAGGACATTTGCAAAAGGGACATGAGGACGAAGGACATAGATATTGATGGTGAGAAGACATTGCCAACGATCTGTCATGCAGTTTACACCGAAGGTTGGTGCGAGGAGAGGAGAAACGAAGGTATGCCGCCGAAGAAAAGTTTGATTGGCAGAAAGAAAACAACAAGGAGACATGGTAGAGCGCCTACAACATGCACTCGTTGCAATCGAGACGTCACTCCCGTGTAGGCCTTTACTGTCATAACAGATAATGCCCCGCCATCAGCAGCTGAAGCATAACGTTTTTCGTGCAGATCGTACAAAACGTATGCCATATATACCAGGTATATGTAAAATCCATCTTTCTTATAGATGCAACTGTTGGTTTGATCGTGGTGTTCCTACGACGTGAACGTTCCTTTTAATCAGTATCACCCGATGCAAGATAGTAAAGCCAACAAGACACAAGGAGTTAAAGGGTGTGGAAGAATTAGGAATAGAAACATTAATAATAATGAGCAGAAAGAGGAAAGAGTAATTAGGAGAAGACTAGATAGCGATTGACGTTGCATTTAGTTTTTTGCAGATTAAAGCTGGCTGGAAAGCATGGAGACGGATGGGAGTCCCACAAGCAAGAAGTGTGAGAGAAGAAACTGTTGGCACAGAATTTACGGTCATATTTAGCTAGCTTAACTGTAAATTGATGAGATCTAGACGCCAGTCTAATATTGTGCTTAAATTCAAAAAGTCTAGGTAACATAGAGAAGAATAATCATTATTTCCGGTTCAAATACAGAAAATATGTCACAAGGCCAAAAAAGCGGGGGTGGGGGAGGACAGTCTTTTTCTGTCTTAACTTTAAACTTATCTAGCCACAAACACTGACCCAAACATATTACAATGTAAAGAGAAGAGCTCAACCGAACAATTAACATGTAAGTACAAGGGGCC